GTACAAAGTTTTTAGCTTTGTTAAAAGTCGAATTTATATTTTTTATGTATTAAATGTAAATAACGCCGGCCATGGATTTTATTATTTTTACTTAAAATGTATTATTGTGAATATGGCAAGATCACCAGAGGACGCTTTACGTGATTTTACATATTGTTACAGAGGTAGTAGCCTCAAAAGGAAGGTCGCCTATGTGATTTTTTGTGAACGTTTTTTAAAGTATTGCTGATGGTGAGAACGGCGAAAAGAAGGACAAGTACAAAGTTTTTAGCTTTGTTAAAAGTCGAATTTATATTTTTTATGTATTAAATGTAAATAACGCCGGCCATGGATTTTATTATTTTTACTTAAAATGTATTATTGTGAATATGGCAAGATCACCAGAGGACGCTTTATGTGTTTTTACATATTGTTACAGAGGTAGTAGCCTCAAAAGGAAGGTCGCCTCTGTAATTTTTTGTGAACTTTTTAAAAGTATTGCTGATGGTGAGAACGGCGAAAAGAAGGACAAATACAAAGTTTTTAGCTTTGTTAATAGTCGAATTTATATTTTTTATGTATTAAATCATCTTTATATTCTTCCCTTTCTCAACTGGCTTTCTGTCAAATAAAGTTACATATTCTTTTGTTCTCTCTTCTTCTTTGTTCACATAAGCAGTTCTATGGTTCAAGTTTACTACCTCAAATGCATGATTCAAGAGGCAAATTGAATCTTATAAACTCAGCAAAAGTCAATTGAAATTAACTAATATTTTGGGTTTCTAGATATGCCAATCTACACTATACAATAATAGTTTATGTGCAATACATGAAACAACATAACAATTTTACTGTATTTCTCAAAACAAATAGGAGTTTTGAAAATATAACTAAGTTAAAAATACTTTTTATAAAATAAATTTCTACAATTTTGTAATTACTAAGTTTATAAAAATTAATATTGTGTTTAATTTGACCTACTTGGTATAAAGGTTCCTACTGCTAATCCTATCCCTTTATCTGCCTGTTCACCATCTTTATAAATACTCCATGCTCCAGTTGGTGAAGACCAAGTTACACATATGTGATGCCATTTACCGTCATTAGCAGTCACATCTGTCACCACTTCTTGCATATTTATATAAAATACAAATCTAAAATATACATTTAAACATTCTAAAACTATTACAGTCTAACATTATATAAATAATACTAATAATATCTTCAGAAAATATACCCATTGTAATCGGTAAGAGTGAAAAGATTATCAACTGTTTCATTAGCATAAGAGAGGGGAGTTCCATAGTTATGCTTGTCAACTGTGGTCATCCAAAGGCACACTGTAACATGATCCAAAGGATGTTGAAAACCTTCTAGTTGAAGAAAATCTAATGTTCCAGATGATGGAAACACAAGAAAAAAATCCTGGGACAATTCTGAAAAGCATTATATAAATTCACGATATACAGTATATTGAGAAAAAATAAAATTTTGCAGTTAGCAACTCTATGGTACAAGGAGTAAATTATTATTTTCCAATAATTCAATAAATTTTTAAATTAACAATATATTTTAAAAATGAGTGCATTTCTTCATATTATAAGTGTTAAAAATTCATTTAAATTCACAAGATTTTAAAATATTTTAGTTACAATACATCTAAAATATTTTTAAAAATACTTTGTAATAAAAATATGTCAGAATAAACAGATATTGAAAAAAAAGAAACATTTGAAATTGGGGAAAATTAACTGATTTTTAACAATGTATCCCAATAGTGAAAACAGGAAGGTATGTAACATAAGTTTCCAAGCTTAATTTCAGTCATTTTTCAAATATAACTATAATACATATTCATGCAACTAGCCACCAATGTTATTTGTGCCCATTGTAGCAAAAATATATTTAAACTTTTTGCCACAATAAAATATTTTTTATTGCTTCATTAAACGAAAAGAAGTATTTAAACTTACCAGTTTCACAGAGATCTCCCGTAAACGAAGGAGCACAAAGACAAGTAAAATGGGCAATTTGGTCAAAACATGTAGCACCATTCATGCAAGGTTCTGACTGGCATTCATTTACATCATCTTCACATAATCTTCCTCTGAATCCAGGTAAACACTGGCAACTACAATAAAAATCTTTTATAAGAATGATTCTGTAGAAATTTTTACAGGAAAGTAACATTTATATTATAATCAACCTACATAAATTCTTCAATTCCATCAATACATGTAGCATTGTTTTGGCAAAAGTCATCCGCACAGTCGTCAATGTTAGTTTCGCAGTTACGTCCTGTGAAACCTCGTATACAGTGGCACGTATAGTTGGCAATTAAATCTTGGCAAGTTGCACCATTTTGACAAGGATTACTGAGACAATCGTCAATGTTATATTGACACACTGGGCCTAAAAATAAACAATAATAATTCATTGTTTAAAACACGTTTTTTATGAATATTCATTTTAAAAATTAGATAATCTTTGCAATTTGAATTCTAATTAAAGTAAACAATTATGTATCCACACAAAAAATTAATTTTTTAGTTTTAAAACTGCATTGTTTAGAGTAATAATACCTTTAAAGTATTAGAAAATAATCTTAAAATAATTAAAAGTTTTTAAGAAATGTGCATTGACATGCTTTTGATCATGTGAAAATACAGCTATCATGTCTATCATGGTTCAAACAGCTCCATAATGGGCCTGGCTGAACCTGTGAAGACTCATTACAAGTGGCTAGATAGTTAGAAAATGACTATCTGGACAAAACCATCCAAAAAATTTCTGAGTAGCTGCTCCAGGCTTAAATTTGAGTCCTCCTGAGAGATAGCTGAATGGTGAAAGAGTCAACTTATACAAAGAATTAATAAAAATTATTTACTTTTTTTTAGCTAATTAGTTTTAATATTTTTTATAAAATAATAATTTAATTAATAGAAAAAGTATGCCATAATATATATTAATCTAATGTTGAATACATAAGCATGAAAATCAGTTAATGCATATTATTCACTCATATATAACTAATTTAATTTAAGTGTTTTAAGAATTATTATACATCTGAATGTACCTTAAGTAATACTAATGGCTATTTATATAATTTCATAAAAGAAAATTTCATAAATATGTAAAAACTAAAAAAACAAATATATACAGATATAACACCAAATCAGCATCTCCTTTGCCATATGCTCATGCATTTTGGGCTATTTGCCCCTCTTCAGTCCTTTTTCCCCCAATAAACATAGAAAGAACAAGAAGCAATCATGTATTAAATTATTATTATGTGGCTACATGCCTGTTTTATTATTATTATTATTATTAGTCTGTACAGTTTAGTTTTAATTTAAATTCTAGAATTATCGTTCTTTCCGTTTTGTTTGTTCCTTTGTCTCGGACTTCCAAGAACTCGCCTCACCCCTAATCCATCAGGAGGTAGGGTTAGAACATAGGAGAAAAACGAGGCTGGAGGGGAAAGGTAGAGTTTTTAGAATCATTCTTAGGCTGGACTCGGAGAGAGACAGACAAGTGGCAGAAGTCTCATGAACGGAAAATCGAGGAGTGCTGCAGAAAGAGGCCGTAAAGAACAGATTGGTAGAAAAATCCGGTTGACGAATATAGAGGAAAACCCCAAACAGAGTCTAGTTGTTCTAAGAGGAGAACAGATGAGTGCAAGAAGCTGAGACGAGGAACGGTGGAGAACCATCACTGGAAAATTGGGTACCCTTCTGTCCTTTTATTCTTCTCATTTCCCCTTCTTCTTTTTCTATTTCTTAGTTTAAGTTAGGTTAAGGTTTATGTGGGTAAATTAATTGTCTATTGTTATACCTGATCACTAAGGATTGTAGAACCATTTGAAGGAGAACAGCAGGAGTCCAAACCTAATCTGTATATAAACTTGTTTAATCGGTAAAATGTGTATGTGTTTTTCCTGTCCACAGTGAACATTTCACAATTATACTTGACTATGGCTGGTCCTGCAAAATAGTTAATCGGCAAGGCTTTGGAACCAAGGATGCTGGAAATTCAGTGGTGTACCTGTACTAGAATGAAGAAAGACTATGAAGAGAAATAGAATTAATTAATTAAAAAAAAATGATTATTCAGGAAAGCAAAAGCATAGCCCAAAAATAAAGGTACTAAAAATTGTTTCTGGAACTAAATACCACACATTTCTTGCTTTTCCAACAGTCACTTTAATAAAAGAACAAACGTTTTTAGTCCTTTTTGGGATCTGCTTTGGGTTATTAAACAGTTAAAATAATTACAGAGTTTTTTGTTTCCTAAAATAGAAGAGTTCAGATTTTACTGATGTGATTTAAATTTAAACTTAAATTAAATTAAATTTTAAAGATTTACAATTTGACATATATACATAAAAATACATTCTAAAATGCATTAAAAATAACAAAGTTTGATATCAATTAATAATATTTATCCTTGTATATTATAAATATGTAAGTTGGGGAGAAGCAAAGCTTATAAGCTTATAAGGGAAATATTTGATACTCATAAATTAAGAACCATTAAAGCAATCGAGATTTTTGGAGTAATGCTGAAGATAGCTGCACCAATAATAAAGAAAGCCTTAACCTTTCCCAAGTATAGCAGGTATTGCTATGTAACCTTCCACCATATAAAGATAAGTATTGTTAATTGATATCAAACTTCATTATTGTTATTTTTAACACCTTTTGGAACATATGTTTATATATGTATATCAAATTGTAAATCTTCAAATTTTAAATGATGCCATGTAGGATTTGAACTGTTCTATTTTAGAAAACATAAAATGCTCTTTAGTTATTCAAATGATTTAATAACCTGAAGCAGATCCCTAAAGGAACCAAAAACATTTGTTCTTTTATTAAAGTGACTGTTTGAAAAATAAGAAAACTGTGTGGTGTTTAGTTGTATGCAGTTCCAGCTTTTATGTGATATATTTAATTGTTTCTGGATTGAAGCCAAAATGTTACAAATCCAAAAATAAAAATAAAATAAAATAGTTTAAAGAATTCTTATAAAACAGTAAAATAATTATCAAGAGAAAGTAACATAAAAGAAAATTNTGATGGAGCAGACGCTTGGCAGGGGAAATCCACTGAACTCAATAGGGACTAGACAAAGACAACTATCCCGGTTTACAAAATAACCCTTTAATTTTGTCTGGGAGCATACAGTGCTTCAAAAAAATTAAGACACAGGAACTTATGGAGTCCGACAAGTCTAGTATACCAAATATCGTTAACATCAAATATCCCGACAATATACTGCTTGAAACTCCCGAAATGTGAAGACATAAAACATACTGACAAAATGGGTTTGAGGTAAATCTCTTCCTTTTCTTCCCTCTAGGCAGAAAACAGTTTGAAAAATTCCGTCAATCTCCACACTGATTTGGTTGCACAGTCTTTACTTTCCCATGCAATTTCACCACCACCACTACTTTGCTTCTTCCCCGTCCTCTCCTTACTTCCGTTCTGACTTCTCCCTGAGACACACCCCCAATAAAACACTCAATCTCGGTTACACACCCTGGGATTACACAACTCCTCTCCACCGAGTCGGACCCACCACGTGGCGAGGGGCAAGAAAAGACGTAAGGCACAGCATTATAGTGTCTGGTGCCCAAGTAGACAGGTGAAGTCAGAACTTCAAGTGGGAACTTTGAAATCCACAGCCCAAAGTTAGTGTGTTAGTCTGTGTTTAAGCTTGATGAATCCAAACATGTGACCAGCTATTGAAATCAAATACAAAATAACCCTTCAAAAACTGAGGAAAGGGAAGACAGAAGAGAGAATTTTATGTTTAAGAAGCTTCCATGTGACCCCTCATGGTAATCAAACAATGTTTGCACTACCTGGATATTCTTTCCTATCCTATCTGCTATCTTTGCTACTTCTTGCTCCCTACTTTCTATTTCCTTCTAGGTATAAATTAATATTAAAAATTATTGTTAAGGAAAATTTTGTAATTATTATCGTCAGTTTCTTTTGTACTAATCACAATAATTTTGTAAATTGTTCTACCAATGACTGGACTTTGGATGACTGTCAGTCAACAACCCCTAGAGCTGGAATCCCTTTGTATCTGTACTTTATCATCATGTGAAATAAATTAATTTTTCTATCTTCTACTTCATATATATATTTTTTTCTGGGCATTTGCCCTCATTGGTCAACAAAACCTTTCTTAATTATTACAAATGTTTAATCAATTCTTTGGATATTGCTTTATCCAAAAAATTAACATTTCATTATTTTTAATATTTTTATAAATTTAACAATTGCATGATTTTAAGAGATCATATCACATACAAATAATACATGGACATAATTTGAACTGACCATGAAAAATATGTCATGGAATTAATAATAAAATCATTAATCGTATATAAAAGTAAATTTATGACAGATTGATTTTTTTTTAATTACAGAATTATTATATACTTTTGGTATGATTCAGTTCATTTTGCTTATCCAGAACACTGGTACAATGCTGCATATCCAATAAAAATGGTTGTACAGTTAATCAACAAACATCGCTACAAATGTGCACTAAATGATCAAGCTTATTAGCTGTAATGAGGTTTTAAGAAGTCTTAAGGAAGGAAATTGCTAAGCAATTTTGAATGATCCATTTAGTTACAAGATGTCAGCATTGCCACTTAATTCAACAGGCTTTCATACCCCGTACAACTATTCTGGATAGGCAAAATTAACTGAATTATATGTATAAAACTTTATGAATAATTCTTTTTCTAGTAAACTGTAATGCATTTTCAAAAACTTTATGTATTATTCTTTTTTTCACAGTACATAATATGTTTTATTTTTTAAAAAAATTATCTTACATACCTACATAACCTTCAGGGCATTTGCATGAAAATTTATTAATATGATCAGTGCAAATACCACCATTGAGACAGGGTTCATATGCACATTCATCAATGTTCTTTTGGCAGAGATTTCCAGTAAATCCAGGAAGACAGACACAAACATAATCATTTAATAAATCACGGCAAGTTGCATTGTTTTTACAAGGAGTACTTTCGCATTCATTGATTTCATTTTCACAATAGATTCCTTAAAAATACATTAATAGATGTGTTAAAAAATATTAAATATATATCACTATTAAAAGTTCTGATTTTTATTCATATTAAATTTAATTATCTTTTTACATTATAATTGAAAGAATTTTGACACATGAAAATATAAATTTTTTTAAAAATAAGGAATAAATAGAATATTTTATATAGTTTTTCATATTTATAATAATATTGTAATTAAGATGTTAGGCAATGGAGACAAACTGTGGCTGTTTGCCATAATTTTATATGTGCTAACACTAANTTTTTTTTTTTTTTTGTTTCCTTCTACTATCGTAAGACTGTCTTTCTTCTTTGCCAATGGGGAATCTGCTCCAATTATGGAATAGAGCCCTCTTTGTTCAGGTAAGAACCAGTCCAACAGATTTTTGTGGTTGGCTTAAAAGAAAAGAAGGAACCTTGAGGAGACACTTTTTTGGATGGGAGCTGGAGAGAGAGGACATAAATATCCCAAGTAGCATTGTAAGGCCAAGGATCCTTGAAGTCCAGGAAGCTGATAAGACCAAACCCTAAGTAGAATATTGTAGATATTTGGAGGTTTAATTCATCATATTTTTAATTCATTTAAAAATATTATTTAATTATTTATGATAGGATATAAGTATGATATGATTTTATTTAAAATCATATTTTCAATTTATTTAATTGAAAATATATGATCTCCACCTCAAATTAGTAGTGTCTTGCCCCTGTACATCATACTTTTCCTGTTAACAATAGTGTCATATTGGTCATCTAACTCCATTCGGGGGAATATTTTTTAATTGATATAACATGACTTCAAATTTGCAACAGAAGTTCATATATAGTTAATTTGGGCCTCCTGTCCCTATACTTTCCATATCTGGTCTTGACTTCCATCTATCTAACTCTGTTCACAAGATTAAGGAAGGACAGACTGACAATAGTGGAAATTTATAGTCTACAATTTTTTCAAATTGAAGACCAATAAATTTTCTAAAATTAAATTAAATTTATTAGACCCTCTTACCTGTGTAACCAGGAACACAATGACATAAAAATCCAAAATCTAAAGCTTCACATGTTGCACCATTTAAGCAAGGAACAGAAAAGCAATCATTCACTAGTAACAGATCACTCAAAGGTATAGTCAATTTATCATCCTTAAGAATTTTATTCATTCCTGTATCAAATAATTCTTACAATAAAATTTTAATTGAATTAAAAAATTACAATTTAAGAAATTTTAATGTAATTTAAATATTGTGATATATTTATTAATTAATTTTCTGCTTTATCTTACACAGAATAAAAAACTATCATATAGTTAAAAGTTTTGCTAGTATTTCAATTATTTAAATTTAAAATGTAACATTTAACTATAGATACAAATTACTTTAAGAAAAATTTGCATTTATTTCTTATTTTTTTACATTATTCACAATTTTTCACTTATGATTTTTTAGGAAACAATACTGATTAAGAGGATACTTTTCTTACCTGCACAATCATTTACTGATGTGGATCCTTGTGAATTTGTTGTAGCTCCATTAGGACAACGATAACAGGCTTTTTCTCCGGCAGCTGGTTGAAAATAACCAATAGGACAGGCAAAACATGGAAAGAGTCCTGTTGTCGATACATAACCCGGTGGACACGTCTCTAAATTTGTGGAATAAAAAGCGCACACATATATAATTTTACGTTTAAATTTTACTTTTAAGCTGCTTAAATTTTATTAAAAACATCAAGATTTAATTAATATTTACCTTGACATTCGTCTTGACGACGTGCTCCCCTTCTCCAAGTTGTTGTTAATCCGGGACAAGAAAGGCAAGAAGTTTGGGCATAATGAGGCTGATAATAACCACGAGGACAAGTTTCACAAACTTCTAATCCAGTTGATGAGAAGCTGCCGGGTAAACATTGTGCTGTATCAAATAAAGGCAGGGTGTCACAATAAGCCCCGCCACCATATTGATTTTATATCCCTGGTCTATCAGATCATTTAAGGCAGGGAATTCAATGCATTTTAATTTAGACTTTAATGAAGGAATTGTTCTTACTTAAATATTAGAATAACTTTTAGTAAGTAATTATACATTTTAGATTATAAGAACTATCCTTACCTTTACATTCTCCAACACTTTTAGATTGACCTGTAGTTGTTGATGTGCGTTCTGGGCATACAAGACAGGATAACTGTCCTTCTTGGAATTGATATGTTCCTAAAGAACATCCTTCACAATACTCAAAAAGTACATTAAAAAATGTTCCAACAGGACATTTTACTAGTAAAGAAGAAAATATGTAAATCAATTAGAATCAGAAAATATACAATATTCATTTTACAAAACAGAATAAAATATTTTAAGTAATCAATCACATAAAGAGAACTGTAAACTATATAATTATAAACAGAAATATAAAAAAACATTAAAAGTATGTATTACATAAATTAAATAAGTTAAAAAATGTCTTAAATCACATATTTAGAGTTTTAATCAATATAAGTCAATGTTTGGCAAGGTAATGCAAGTAGAAAAATCTTATTTAATAAATTTGAAGTTATAAAACTATTTTGAAGAAAAGAAACTAAAATTTCAGGTAACTAAGTAATTAGCTGCAGAATGTTAGCTTATGCATTGTAATAAAATTACAAGTAACCCCCATATAACACGGTAGTTACGTTCAAAAAAATTGCTGTGTTATACGAAACAAAGAACTAGTACGAAAAGGAGGGTTAGGTTCCAAAAAAATTTTTTTTTTTTTAGTAGATGGCACTACAATCATGCTGGACACATATAAATATAACTTATTTTTAAGGGGAGGTATGGGTGGGGGTGTCTTGTGGGACTTAAAGTCCCAGAAACCTGGTTATTTCTATCAGGTTGCTGGAGGGAGTCAATGTAGAGATTTTGCTGCTGGATAATTTGATTAAAATTTTTCTCGAGCTCCTGAATCAGAAAGCTTACTCCAGCCAGGCTTTGAATGGCTTTGTCTTTAAGTTCTGTCTGCATGTTGCAGGAAGCCTCTATACACTCTTTGATGGTGAATAGCTTCTCTTTTATTCCTTCTTCTAGCTCCATGATGATATCTTGAGACTTATCCATGCTAACTCTTTAGGTAATAGAGAGGTTGAGGCGCACGTTTTAAACGTGTAAACGTGTACGTGTGACGTTCGGCGCCGCTTTCCCGCAAGCCTAAAAGTTTGACGATGGTGTTTGAAATGTTGAGCGTGATTCCACCGACTATCCAAACATCATTGTCAAACTTTTAGGCTTACGGGAAAGCGGCGCCGAACGTCACACGTACACGTTTACACGTTTAAAACGTGCGCCTCAACCTCTCTATTAATTTATTGGATTGACTTTAATTTTATTTATATACTATTCCTACTATATTATTTTAAATCTTTATCTAACCCAGGCACCAGAATAAAAAAAAAAACAGTTCCTCACAAAAACAGCAACATATCTTAACAGAACACTTTCCTGAACTGCAATGGTAAAGCATGGTTAGAAACAAAGAGACTAGATTTTTAAACAAAGGAACTGGTTTCTATTGTTTACAGGCAGGGCAGAAATTGCCTAATGGAGAGGAAACATTATATTAAGATGTATTATTATTAGTGATGTGCCGGATATCCGTATCCGTGGATATCCGAGGGAAAAAAAAGATCCATATCTGTATCCATATCCGTTACTTTTTAGCGGATCTTTAATGGATCTTTTATCTTAATGAATTTCATTACTTATATGAAATTTTAAAGATAGGTAGCAATAGCACATTCGTCATTTACTATCGTAAAATATTTCCATATTACACTACTAAACTTTTTTGTCAACATTGTTTTTATTTTAATTTAACTCAACACTCTCCAAAAACACAAACATAATCTACGCTATCCCGTGTCACACCAGTGTTTCCCAACGTGGGGTCCACGCCCCACAGGGGGCAATTGGATTGCTAAGGAGGGCAATTCAAAAATGGACTTGTCCAGAGTTTAAGTTAACCGTATAGCCGCTGTACATGTTAGGGAGACAAGAATTTTAGAAAGGCTTAGGTGGGGCATAGCACAAAAAAGGTTGGGAAACACTGCACTAAACTATTGTGGCAGTACACTATATTTTTGTAAATATTAATTTTAGTTTAGTTTCGTTTCTTCTTTCTACCCTTAGTTCTATTTTCTTCTAGAACTTTCTTATCTATTCCCTGTCCCTTGGGTGGGATGAGCAGTTCCTAGAAATTTGAGGAGCAAAGGTGTAAACAGGAGCCGGAGAAAAAAGAGAAGTGACGTTGCAGGTCATTCGTAAACTGGACGGCAGAGTGTACGGACGTGGTGAGAATACTGGGAGTCATATTTTCAATGACCGGATAGTTCAGAAATAAGTTCAGAAAAAAAATCCTGTTTTAAGGTCGTATTGACGACTGTGGAAGGAAAAATCCTAATTGTTGAAGAAGAGAACTGGCCAGTTATAAAAGAAGGACGTGTGTTATCCCACCCAACAGTACACATAAAGAAACAAGCCGAAAAAAGGGACAAAACCCCAGATATCCCTATTTCTATGTTATCTACCATTTTTTCTGTCTTCTTAATTCTATCCCTTTTTCTGTTATTAGTGTTAAGTTAGTGTTTAAGGTTCCGGGTTATATTGTCGCAATCAGGATCTGTATTGTACACGTGCTTTGGATACAGCGAACTATTATTATCGCTGTAATTTCGCATGCTACTGTTTGTACCGTGGAGTTGGAATCCCCCCGAAATGGAATCTGTATAAAGACGCGAAATAGCTTAATTGGAAAATTATATCAACTTTTGTTACTTTATCCTGTCTGCCTCTGCAGTGAATTCTAATTTAGCACACTTTTACACTATAAACAAAAACACACGCAGTGCAAGTCAAAACACATCGCATTACTAACGCAAAGCGCCAACTATCGGTCCAAGGTCACACGCACCGGCGCCGACTGAGTATGAAAGTTGAGATCTGTATCCGTATCCACGGATCTAGACACTAATGATCTGTATCCGTATCCGCGGATATACATTTTTAACGATCCGGCACATCACTGATTATTATTTAAATAAAATATTATATCTGTGTATTATATATGAATAAATAGATAATTTTGGACTTTTACATTTATTTTATCATCATCATCATCATCATCATCATCATCATCAT